TGTAACGCGTTACTTCCCAACCCTGTTCACAATCCTAATTAAAATGTTACTTCAATTAAGAATTAAAAAATGTTCTACTGAAAAATAGCTACTTTTAAGATGCGTCTTTTTTTATCAATACAGTGAATTATCTATCATCAGCTACAACGTTTTAGCTACAAGTGTCGCTTAAACATTGACAGAGTTCTAACTTCCATATGACTTTATATATACTTATGAGTTTTCACTGAACCTTGAACAAACAAACGTTTCCGATGATGTCCCCGTACGCAGAACTGTAATAACGAGCTACCTTGCATGAGAAAGCCGAGAGGATCGTGGAAAGGGAGACATCGGACAGACGGTCGAGAAACGAGAATAATAATTCCGTCAACCACGCTCGTTCCACACTCGCTCCCTCAACGTGACTTCACACCTTCTTCATGTCTCATAATTCGTGCTTCGTCTCGTATCGCCTTCGTGCTCGAAGAAGCGTTCTTCCCGCGATAAATCAAAAATACCTTCGAGGACGGAATTCGTTCGAATTTGTACCGACATCTTTGTCCTTCCTTTTCTCGCGCAATTTCAAGCGGCTAAAAATATTTTATTATAAGGAGAACGTTTTTTTTTTCACGTTAACGAACGTTAGCTCGAAATATAAACTACAGTTGTAAGCTTACCAGGCGTGACTTCGTTGGTTAACTTTGCGGTACACAAGTTACTCGTGCACGATACGCATTCCGCGGACGCGTGCGTGCGGTTCGTCATATCTCTTTCTCTCTCTTTCTTACGTTACTATTTATACGTACGACCGAGCTAATTCGTTTCCCTCACGTTTATTTCCGATTGAAAAGAAGAACCCGTGAGCGATAGTAGAGGATTTAAGATGCTTTCGATCAAAGACAGCAAACCGAGGCGAGAGTCCGAGCTTGACAACGAGAGATAACATCTTATCGTACTCTCGCATCTATCATCGCATCATCGTCTACTAATTAACCAGATAATCCGCCGTGAATAACGATCTGTCCTCTTATGAGGGGGAACAAATGCGAGTTAAGATACAGATCTTGTGACGAAGGGGCGGCATTATTATAACCTACGAGCAATGCCTATTAAATCAGTATATATTAAAGATATACCGATTGCCTGCTCAGCTGGATTCTTAAGGATGTTCGGTAGACGTTCGATATAGCATATATTAATATTTATTATTAAACAAACTGTAATACATATGAAAGTTGTGTTCATAACATTTTGTTTTTATTAAACAACACATTTTTATAGTTTATTTATCTTATTTATTATTTTTACTCTATTTATAAACTAAAATTTTAAAAATAACAAAAATCTAAATAATAATAAGTGATTTAATAAAAATCTAAATGTTTTTATGTAAGTACTTTAAGTATTTAAAATAACTTTACAAAGTTTCATTGTAATTTATCAATTAGTTACAAAGATTTAGAACAGACAAATATTTTGTTTATTTACTGGACAACTAATTTTTGCATCGCAATGTAACTTTATATAAATAATCTTAAATATATAAAGTAATTACATTAAAAAATTGAAATTTTTGTCATTTTACAATACATTTCCATACATTTACTATCATAACATAGATTTAAAAAATACTACTTCTTATTTTTTTAAATAACTTGTGTTCCAGATTGTAAACCGTCACTAAAAATTTGTTATATTACTTTTAAATGTAACTTAGAATAATTTATAATTTTTCATGTTTTTTTTTTAAATATCTATCGAATATCCTTAAGCACACACAATGTGTTGTATAAAATTATTTGCAAGGAGAAAAGTTTCTGATGGAAAATAAATGAATCAGTAGATTCTAATTATATCTGAATTCAATTAGAACTCCGGTTATCATAATTAGAGACATCTGATTATCTCGACTCGAATGATAAGAGACTTAACTGTAAAATTCTGATCTGCGTGTTCATTTTCCACTAGAATTCCGATTAATGCAACGAGACTTTAGTTCAATTTTAACTCCATTGACATTTAAAATTGCTACAACTCCTGCATAAATTTTTCATTTGGAACCAATACGACTGTTGAATTCAATGCAATATACAATAATTTTATTTCTATGTAATTGCAAAATATCAAAAATATATGAATACAATCTCAAATATAAATAATATCGAAATAACGCTTCACTCATCGAAAACAAGATTCGAAGCCAAATTGGCATCTTCAGCGATTCTAGCAGGGTCTCGGCAGTTCTCTCGGAGAGAAATGATCGTAGTAATCGGAGGGGATTTATTCCACGACGCGTGAGATAAATTCATACAGGGCACGTGGACGTGAGATACGATCCATAGCCGAAAGGATCTGGCTCCTTTACGGGGCACCATAAAGATTTATATTTAGAAGAATGTGTGATGCGACAAAGACCCTTGCTTTTTCAGCGTGTCCTAGATCTTTAGGTATAGTCACGAAACTAATTGTCCGGGGACAACCGCCACGGTGCAAGCCATTCATTTTAGCACGTAACAAAAAAAAGATTGGAATTTGCAAAGAAATACGTAAACTATCCTCAATCATTTTGAGTTCTCTGGACAGATGACAAAAATTAAACTGTTCGAATCTGATGGAAAGAAAAAAGTTTACCGTAAAACCAAAGAAAATCCGAAATCTTTTTCGGATTTTAAAATCCGAAATCTAATTCCGACTGTAAAATATGGTGGTGGAAATTCTCTCTTTTGGAGATCTATGGCAACTTCTGGAATAGGAAAACTTGAATTTATCCATGGTAAATGAATCAACATGTGTATGTAGACATTTTGAAGCGTAATTTAAAAGAGTCTGCTCGTATCGTTGGAATCGAACGGAATTTTACCATGCAGCAAGACAATGACTCTAAGCATACCTCTCGTTGTGCGCAGGAATTTTTTAAAACAAGTAAGATCAATATACTTCAATGGCCTTCCCAGAGTCCAGACTTAAACCCTATTAAACATTTGTGGAAAATTCTCAAGTCAGAAGTCCGAAAATCGAATCCACGGAATTCTGGAAGCATGGGAAAACATTAATCCTGAAGTTACCCATAAACTTGTAGAATCAATTCCAAGTAGACTAAATGCTGTTATTGAAGCTAAGGGTGGGTCCACGCGCGCTATTAAAACTCAATATATTATTCAATATAATATTTTTTTCAATATTATTTTTGTCTGTCCGATCAATTAATTTCGCGAATATTTTTATAGATTTATTATTAATTTATGATTGAGTCTGCACATGTATCTAAAAATATAATTCTGACTAGAACTAGTGATGAAAATGTATCACTGGAAAGACTTTTCACTAATAAATACTATTATTCTTAAAAAATTACATTATTTGGTGACGTTGTCGGGCAAATTAATTAAGTTCAACTGTTTAATAAAAACATAGTTTTTTGATTATAATAAAAAATATTTCACTGCTCAATAATTAGTGTAAAATTAAATAGCTGCAGTATATTGACTGTACAAAGGTAGCACAATAAATTGTTTTTTAATTGTAAACTGGAATGAATGTGGGATTGAGATTTAAGCTGTTTTGAGTTAAAGTATTGAATTTAGTAGGTAAATAAAAATTTTTAGTTGTACCGAAAAATAAACTCGCAATATCTGTGTCCGGACAATTAGTTTCGTGACTGTATGTCACGTCGCGATCTCGCGACCACTTAGCATTAAACTACATAAAAATAAATCAATGAATCACCGCGAGGGGCGTTCGCACAGGAGATGAACGAGACCCTAGTGCGACGAGTTATCTCGCGATGAGCACGCGGTTCATTAACGACACCGTCGATTAATTATCGCGAGCAAAGGCTCATTTACTCGTGTGCGACGACGAGTCGAGAAAAGCACGCGATCCGAGCAAAAGTATCGGCGATCCGATATTATGTCAGAAGGAGTTAGAAATCCAGGAGTGGACAGAGACAAAACGACTGTGTGTCTCTTCTGCAAACGGCAAATATAACACGGCAAATTAACACGGCTGGCCACGAGGGAGTTTTATTAATTCGACTGGATAATAATAGGTATTCTGGTCTGCGCCGTGAGGTCGTTACGATTAGGCGAGTCATCGTGGCTTTCTATAAATAACGGGCGGAGACAGACATCGCCAGGGGGTGGGAAGGCAGAGAGGGAGAGAGGGGGAGGGAGAGAGAGAGAGAGAGAGAGAGAGAGAGAGAGAGAGAGAGAGAGAAGTGACCGAGAAGGAGAAGCGACTAGTAATCTCGGTTGTTTCACCACCATCGCCGTTCATGGTGTGTCGGATGTCTCGAAGGAAAACGAAAAGGTGGTCGACGTTCGGGCAACACATGTCCCGAATGTGTTCCGGACACGGTGATACGAGGGGACGAAAGAAAAATAGGGATAGTAGCCCTGTGAGATGGTGGTCCCGTGAAGCGTTCGAAATTACCTGCGAGGTGGCGATTCACGCGATTGCTCCGATACAGGCACGAGATGCATTCTTTCGTTCGCGCTCGAGTGTTTGGGCTCGAGACTTTGAGAGAGTTCGACGTTTCGAATTATTCTTTTCTTATCCATCTTTCTATCTTATCTGGAGTTTCCTGTGGCTCTCAGTTACGTGAAAAAATCAAGTGCGTAGATTGATTTCCGACATTACGAAAAGTACCCGAACGAAACGAAAAACGAAGAGGTCCCATATCAGAGGTTCTAGCTGGCCTTGCGCGGCGCATCTCGGAATGGCGCGAAAACTGCATCGCGCGCGCACGTGTGCGTATGAGTAGCGCACGCGTGATGCGACGAGGCGCGACGCAAACGCAACGCGATAGAACGACGAGAAGCGACGCGGCGGGAGGATAGGAGAAGAGAGGAGAGGAGAGGGAGAGGAGGAGAGAGGAAGAGAGGAGACGCGCGCGGCGTTAGAAAGAGAGCGAGAGGGAAGGTGCCGTCGGAATGATAGTAGTGGGGTTCAGAGTTTTGCCGGCGATCTCGGCACTCGGCGGCATCCGTCGTAGTGGGGAAAGACTAACCCACGAGGGGTTGCGGAGGGAACGAGCGTGGACGAGCGGTTATTTCAAGCGACGGCTCTTCTGGCACTTCGCCCCGAGCTTTCCTCGTGCACATCCTCCTCTCGGAGAAGTAGTGCTCTGCCACGAGTAGTAGCGCGTATCGTCAGTGTCGCGACGTCGCAGTCTCGAGTAGTCTTGAGACTGAGAGAGAGAGAGAGAGAGAGAGAAACAGGGAACCGTCAGTCAAGACAGCAAGGATCACAAACTCGAAAAGCCGCCGATCGATCGGCCAGTACTCTCGAGATCAACCGCGAAAATTCGCGAAAGCGAGTGTCCGGTGACACTCGCAGTGGCAAAAGACCAAAGAGTCTTTCGAGGGTGACAGTCACGGTGTCAGTGAATGGATGAACTCTTTTGTGTTATATGGTGACGGGATTGAGAGAATCGCGGAACGGTAGGACAGTCGGATAAGAGGAGAATCGAAGAATGGAACGCGCGTGGAAAAGAATAGCGAACGAGGATCTATAACGACGACGCGCCCGCCGTCGGATGCGTGAGATGCGTCGGCCTGAAATAACAGCGGGAATGCGTGCATAGTGTGAATCAGCTCTCGTTCGTTCCGCAGCGGACACGCGAATCTCCTCTCGGTAGTGACTCCACGCACGCACTTCCTCGCCATCCCTCCGCCCTGTCTTGTCTCGTCTTCAACCCTTCCTCAGTCGACATCATCGGTGCATCGTTGCTCGCGACTCGCGATCAACGCCGATGCTCGACAGGGTGAGAAAGAGAGAACCAGGGTTCCTGAGAGCGGATTGAGAAAAGCCAGAAGCGCCAGAAGCTACGCCGAGATCAGAAGCTGGGAGCGTGAAGAGGCCGAGGGGAGTTTTCGAGACGCTGTCGAAGGAGTTTTCTCCGAAAGGAGATCACGAGCTCCGCAAGTAGTGAGTACGCAGCCTGCTTCGTATACTTATAGATAAAGATACAGGCGCGAGGCGAACGTGGGCGCGGACCGTCGTCAGAATTCGCAAAGCCGAGTCGGGCAGGTATCTCATGTCGAGTGACAATTTATCGTAGAAAATTTATTACATTAAGATTCGCGATTCACAAAAATGTCCCATTGAATATCTGTTTTTAGTCAGAAAATTTTTTAATAGTTTTCTAATAATCGCCGTTCCTAGAAAGAATATGAATCATTCTCTGCTCAGCAGATCGGAGTAAAATTAACACTAAAAGTACCAACGTTTCATTAAAAAGACCAAATAAATAAATTATGTTTGAAAATAAATAATAAAGAATCAAATATAAATATTTCATCAGTATAAAAAACATAATTATTAAAAAATCAAAATGTTTCACAATCTTATCTTTTAGACAAGAAATATAATATTAATCTAAAAATGTATGTAAAAAGTTCGTAATATGTAATGATAATATAATGTAAATGGCCAAAAAACGAGTAAATATATGAATACGTGATAAAAATATTATATTTTATTCTATATTAATAAAAAATAGACGTGTTTTGAACTCACAGAATCTCTCTCGACAATGCTCCAAGTGAACATGCAAATTAACTGTATACATTAATAAACCGATAAGAAACATAACATGGACAAAAAGGTTATCAAAAGGCCGTATTAGAAGCTAAGCGTTTACACAAAAATATAATAATTTATAAAATATAAAAACTTAAATCGAACTAAGTAGTTATCGAATTTAAATAGTTTAATCTATATTATAGATATTACTACTTTGACTATCAAAGAATTCTTCGGTACAAGTTTTTTATAGTTTGAATTATCTATTATGTCATGTCTAGCTTCTAATATAGATATCTCTTGATAACCTTTTGCCTATGTTTATATATTATGTTTATCAGTCTATTCATATACATGGCTAATTTTCAAGTTCACTCGGAATATTCCTGTGTGAGGAAGATTCTGCGAGTTCGAAACGCGCATCCATTTTTTTTTACATCTCATTAATTTTGAATAAAGTGTAATATTCTTATGACATCCATATTTGTTCGTTTTTTACTTTTTACCTTATTACATTGATCTAAAAAAATGACAATGTGGTTATTAATAATTCGGTGCTTCTAGTGTAAAAATAGGATATAAATTTTCTATGTAGAAATCAAATAAATGACGCAGCTAATAATAATAATAGTAAATACATTAATAATAAATATGATCGATTTAATGATGAAAACGCAGACATGAGACGTGCATCAGACTAGTAGCTACATTGCGGAAATGCGCGAAAATGTATACGCGTCATCGAAGCAAGCAGGGATCAGGGCGATGACGCGGACGATATATCGATAAGCTACGAGGTTTTGCTCGCGTGCGTGCATAGGAGCGGGAAGACATCGTTCGGGAATGCAACTTTAATTGGTATTGCCTCGTTGGTCGATTAAAGCAGACTCGTGCCATTTATTTCCCGATGCGTTCGATCGCGGTCGCACGTACCGAGCGCGAGTATCTTCGATAGAAAATTTCTATCCTGGCGCAACACGTCTTTCCGACACAATGTTACACAGCGAATATATTTTATTTCCTGGATGAGCATCATCTTTCCCAATAATACTAAATAATGAATATATTAAGTGCACGTTAGATACGTACGCGATAAGCTAACGCGACGTAATAAAATCGTCAAGATAAAAATCGCCGACAAGTAATTAAACAACTCTGTGAACCTTAACCTTGAAGGTAGAACGACGATTTAATTGCTATCCCTTTTCGTTTTATTACTAGTAGAGTCGTTCTCCGTGCCGCCATGATAATGAGAGAGCGCGCAGGTAACGATTAAGAAACACGGCAAGGTGATCGGTTAATTGATCGACTAATTAATTTGGAGCGCGGAGAGATTCTACCACGATACGACCGGCAACTTCTCTTCGCGACTCTCAATGCGTTTCGAAGGTACAGCTATAGATCGTATTAAAAAGTATATAAATTTGAACAAAAATCGACTTTACGCTACCTAAAGAACAAAGTTATTAATTCGTTGCGCTCCAGCTATCTGTGCAAGACATGGTGAAGTTTAACCCCCGATGCGTCCCTCGGCCAGACCAGGCAGCTTATTTAGCAGGCGGGAAGAGAAAGAGGGGGAGGTAATTTATTCCGGCTTTACTTAATCTCTTCCCTCGCATGTCTCGACGGCTCTCGGCCGAGTCTTCTTTAATCCAAATTCCAGATCGAGAAAGGGAACGCGCACGCGCGCGACAAAGAGAGAACTCTAGAAACGCGCCCGTCGAGGAGTCGAGGAGTCGAGATCCCCCGACGATGAATCAGATTATCGTCGGGAGTAAATCGGCGGACTCGCGACTCCGCGATCATTTGCCGCGCGCTTCGTTTTCTGGCTCCACGACGCCGAGCGTTTCGTAAAGTAATGCTGTTTTGGAGCACTTAATCTCCGGCTAAGACTAAGTCTCTCGACTAAAGTAAGTTGGCACCGTAATGGAATGAAGCACGCTCGAGTTTCAGTTATCCCGAGATAATTCCATCTCCTCCCCTTGACTCGACACAAAAATAATCATTAGCTTTATCATGCAGCTTTTTCTTAAATTATAAACCGGCAGTTAGATAGTGTACAGATTGGATGGACTGAAGAAGTGCCGCGAGAGATTGTCTTGAGCGAATCATAAAGCGAGTAACAGTGTTCGCTTCCGGTGTTTACACGAGCAAAACGCCGCGAGCGAGCAGGTCCGCGCGAACGATAATATACACGCTCCAGATGAATTACACGCGTTTCTTTGCCTCCCGTATTGTCCACGATCGCGTGGCTCGCATGAGTCTTTCTTGCATCCGGTGATGTCCAGGCTGCCTCTTGTGAAATTGCTGATTAACGTCTCTTTCCGAGACAAGATTCCGACAGTTCGTTTCAACCAACTCCAAACAATATCGATTGCACGTACCTCCTTAAGGAGGTTGTAAGGCAAATACGATAGGTTAGGAATTACTTGAAAAGATTACAAATTGTTCTAAATTGCATTTAAAAGTAATACAAAACAATTAGAGACAATTGACCATCTGAATCAAAAGTTATTTCATAAAAGGTAATAGAAATATATGAAAATGTATTATAAAATAATGATAAAAATCTCGATTTTTTTATAGAAGTACTTTATGAATCCAAAAATATTTATGTAAAGTTACATTGAGATGCAGACATTAATTGTTCAGTAAATAAATAAAATATTTATTTGTTATAAACTAATTGGTGAATCTCAATGAAACTTTGCACAAGTAATTTTTAGTACTTGAAATATTTATATTAAAAAATTTAGATTTTTGTTATTATTAAAAAAATTTTTGTTTCTAACAATAGAACTAATATCAAATAAAATAATCTGTAAAAATGTGTTGCTCAATAAAAACAGAACGTCATGAACACAACTCTCACTTGTATGTAGTTTGTTTAAAGCTTAAATATTAATATATGTGTTTTATGCCCTTACAACTTCCTTAAATATTTCTGTGAGGTTACAAAAAGCGCGAATTATACTCATTTTACCAATGTAAATTTTAACTATAAATTTCGATTTAATTTACTCTCTTCTTACTACTTTTTTTATTTTTTTAATCTCGAAAGAGATTGGAAGTTAAATCGAGACAAGTATTATTCTACATTGATAGATACTAAGCAAGCGTTATCCGAGCAAAAGTCGAAGCTCTGACTGGCGTTTTCTCAATGCAAACGTCCTCGAACGGTAAGAACCTGTGCAACATATGTACACTGCGGTGCATTGTGTGCCTCAGTCCTTCGTCCTTTTGATTCTCTCTTGCTCACTTCGCTTTGTGCATCAAAGTATCTATAAAGGATTCATTTCATGAATACGAAACGAAGAGAAGAGACGAAAGATTCGGGAAGGTGTCGAATATCGAGAACGAGAAAGAGAAAGGACGATCGAAGTAGGAGATATGATTAAAATTGCAAGTAAACTTGTAAGAAGCAAGCTACGATTTATTTGATGCGTCGCGCCGACTGCGGGCAAGCTAGAGTGGTTTATTTTATAAGACCAGATTGCTGGCCTCGCTCTGCCGGAATAGAATAATGAACGTTTCTCTCCATCCTTCGTAGTACAACCTCCTCCTTCTCCTCCTTCATCGTTCAAGCGCGGAATTTCCTCCCCCTCGCTCCTTTCTACCCTTCCTCACGAAAGTCGAGTGTCGTTCAAGAACGCTCTTCGTATTGGATGCCGTGGTCACGGCTCCCCCTTTCTCGTCAAGCGAGATTGAAATGCAACTTTTTTTCCGTCAAGTGTAACGTGGTAGAAAGAATATATGCAAGGTTCACGCCGATTCGGTGACCTTGTAATAGATTTTTATCTCGAGTCAAAACTGCCCTCGTAATTTATAGATCTCTGTATTCAAAATGCGCTGGGTTGGAAAATTAATTCAGGACGAGTAATAAGACCATTCTCTGGCCGGTTTCTTCGTTGCAATGCCGCGATCTTATTGATCGTGCGTTCGTCATGAGATCGAATCAACGATAATGCCCGTTAAAAGCGAGTTACATAGTTAATCCTTTGCACGTACAGAACGTACCGCTAAATCGCTCGGTAATCGCATCGAAGAGACGGTACCTGATTACATTCGAGTGGAATTTCAAATAAGAACTTACCGGTCTCATGGAACGATAACTCTTTTGGCGCCGTTCGTCGCAAAATCGTCGAAGCACAAGAGATCTTATAGCCGGACGCGGCATTTATTCCATCCTCTTGCTTCGGATCGACTTTGTATAAATCCTGAAAGCAAAAAGCCCACGATTAAAGTACGATAAATTATTATAACTGATATATGTATTTGATTATTAATGCACTAGCTAATTAAATTTTAATGATTAATCATCAAGAAGTATAAAAGAATTAACATCGTGCCTATTTTATGTGAGTGCTTACTTCATCATTAATGATATACTCGATAATTGAATT